CCCCTCTGGAAGGTCACAGTGTCTGTATATGCCTACTGTTGAAGGTCACAGTGTCGTATATGCCTACTCTGGAAGGTCACAGTGTCTGTGTATGCCTACTTTGGAAGGTCACAGTGTCGTATATGCCTACTCTGGAAGGTCACAGTGTCTGTATATGCCTACTGTGGAAGGTCACAGTGTCTGTATATGCCTACTCTGGAAGGTCACAGTGTCTGTGTATGCCTACTCTGTCACAGTGTCTATGCCCACTCTGGAAGGTCACAGTGCCTGTATATGCCTACTCTGGGAGGTCACAGTGTCTGTGTCTGCCTACTCTGGAAGGTCACAGTTTCTGCATATGCCCACTCTGGAAGGTGACCGTGTCTGTATATGCTCACTGTAAGGTCAGAGGTCAAGGTCACAGTGTCTGTATGCCTACTCTGGAAGGTCACAGTGTCTGTGCATGCCCACTCTGGAAGGTGACAGTGTCTGTGCATGCCTACTCTGGAAGGTCACAGTGTCTGTGTATGTTTACTCTGGAAGGTCACAGTGTCTGTGTATGCCTACTCTGGAAGGTTACAGTGTCTGTGCATGCCTACTCTGGAAGGTTACAGTGTCTGTGCATGCCTACTCTGGAAGGTCACAGTGTCTGTGTATGTTTACTCTGGAAGGTTACAGTGTCTGTGCATGCCTACTCTGGAAGGTCACAGTGTCTGTGTATGCCTACTCTGGAAGGTCACAGTGTCTGTGTATGCCTACTCTGGAAGGTTACAGTGTCTGTGCATGCCTACTCTGGAAGGTTACAGTGTCTGTGCATGCCTACTCTGGTAGGTCACAGAGTCTGTGTATGTTTACTCTGGAAGGTCACAGTGTCTGCGTATTCCCACTCTGGAAGGTCATGGTGTCTGTATATGCCCACTCTAGTAGGTCACCGTGTCTGTATATGCCCACCCTGGTAGGTCACATAGTATGTGTATGTTTACTCTGGAAGGTCACAGTGTCTGTGTATGTTTACTCTAGAAGGTCACAGTGTCTCTATATGTTTACTCTGGAAGGTCACAGTGTCTCTATATGTTTACTCTGGAAGGTCACATAGTCTGTGTATGTTTACTCTGGAAGGTCACAGTGTCTCTATATGTTTACTCTGGAAGGTCACAGTGTCTCTATATGTTTACTCTGGAAGGTCACAGTGTCTCTATATGTTTACTCTGGAAGGTCACAGTGTCTATATGTTTACTCTGGAAAGTCACAGTGTCTCTATATGTTTACTCTGGAAAGACACAGTGTGTCTATATGTTTACTCTGGAAAGTCACAGTGTCTCTATATGTTTACTCTGGAAAGTCACAGTGTCTCTATATGTTTACTCTGGAAAGTCACAGTGTCTCTATATGTTTACTCTGGAAAGTCACAGTGTCTCTATATGCCCCTTGGAGGTCATAATGCCTTTATTTCCCTTCGGTGGAAGGTAAAAGAGTCTTTGGCAGGTCAGTGTATCTATATATGTCTACTGGAGAGGTTTACGGTTACTGCCCATGTCTACTAGAAGGGTCATTCGAAGCCGTTACCATTTCCTGCCTGTGGAGCATCGACCAGCGAGTATTTAAACAGGGTATTTGTCCCCCGTTTTTTGCTTCTTTGAACCAAGGCGGGACAGAGGGGTAGCCGACTAGGTAAAGCGTTCGCTCGACACGCCAAAGGCCCGGGTTCGATTCCCCAAATGAGTTACATTCTATGAAGCCCTTTTCTGGTGTCCCAGTGGCATAAACCTTACTCACTCACTCATTCTCTGAGGACACTGTGGTGATTCAAGGATCGGATGGGTCCACAACAACATATACTGGTCAGTAGAGGACACAAACCTTCGTTGCTCACAATATCAATCACTAGATTGTTTGGTCCAGATTCGATCATTTACAGACCGACGTCATACAGCTAGAATACTGCAAAGAGGCACAGTCACATACTCCGTAATGAACGACTAATAGTGATAGAGTAGAGGGCTACATCTTCACCGTAAATAGATTTGGTCTCCGTTCAACACATCAAAACGACATTACATACAATACATTTGTGGACAACGAACATTACATTGATTCACTGGTAGGAGGAGCTTCATCTATACCAGGCGCCGATTTCTCGAAACAAACTTAAGTCTGAGTTTTGACTTAAGTTAGAGTTTTTACTCAAATTTGAAAAACTGCATTTCCCAGAATGAATTAAAATCGATAGTAAACTCAAACATAGTAGACAGTTTGAGTTTGGTGGATAGATTACTTAAGTTGTTTGGGCTCTTTTATTTAAAAAATGCAGTTGAGTTTAAAATTCAGCTGTTTCAAATTGTCAAACTCAGTTTGAAATTTGAGTAAAAACTTAAGTTTGTGTCGAGAAATCGGGGCCAGAACATACACAGGCCTCAAGCTGGATGAAATTCGAGAACTCGATACATAAAAACTCGTTTAATCTCGTTTCTTGAAACAGAAACTCACCCAGTCCAGGTACTACAGTTATGAAAAGGTTAGCTATAAAAAAGCAACAGTGTGCTGTAGGATCAAGTCATTATTTATATAATGTGAGTCCGTCCTACATCAACAGGCCCTGTCTCGCCCCTTGGGGTCCCATCTGCTGCCTATAATGTCCGACTGAATCCCTAGGGGGTGACCTTTTAGTGGCTATGCCAGGAATCTGGAATAGTTGCAGCTGGGTTGGCTAGTACGCCATTCAATACCTCATAGGTTACAAATCTCTCTGAAGCGAAATTGACTTGATTCGAAGGAACTGCTCTGTCTACAATTCTCGATTATCCAACATTAACAACTAATGGCAACTGTATCAGAGCGGTAGAGAGATTGAAGGTAGAAGAAAGTTTAATAGTAAACATGACATTCTTAGCTTGAATGGTGCATTTATCTTGAGTATACATGCAGTTGACTTCAGTTTAACGTTCATATTAAGGCACACACTGATGATATTTCTCAATATCTTAAAAGCCTCATTCATCTCCATGTTCCAAGCCGATTGCTCCGCTCATCAAACTCCCTACTGCTTACACAGCCTCACGTCAAAACAGCCATGGGATCAAGAGCGTTCTCTGCTGCAGCCCCCTATCTCTGGAACATTCTACCACTCACCCTAAAAGAAATAGAATCTGCTGATGCTTTCAAAACTGCCCTCAAAACTCATCTGTTCAAACTCTCTTTTCCATAGACATTGTCTACAATCTTTTCTCTTCATAGCGCCATTGAGCAATATCTTTTGGAAATAGGCGCTCTATAAATCAATAATTATTATTATTATTACGTTAAGCGGGAAAAATAGTGTGAATAATTCAAATATACTTAAAATAGGCCTAATCAAGATGGAACCCAAAGCAATGTTCTGTATGAAATATGTTATCTAAGGTTTGGGAGATAGTCTATGATGGTGACAGTAATCTCCTGCTTTTACTTTATGTGTGTTGTGTGTGTGTGTGAGTTTAGTTTTACGCCGCTTTTAGCAATAGTTCAGCAATACCACGGTGGGGAACACCACAAATGGGATTCACACATCGGACCCATGTGGGGAATCGAACCCGCGTCTTCGGCGTGATGAGCGAACGCTTTAACCACTAGGCTACCCCACCGCTCCGTGTTATGGTGGTAGGGAGAGGATGGAGATGTACATGCGTTCTTCGGGTCAGTGTTTGGCCTCAATAAAAATTCTTCAGCACGTCTTTCAACTGGATATGTGGATTAAGCCGCACTGCAATGATCGATGACTTTAGAAACATGATCTAACATCTTTACTCCGCTTGTATGGAACTACGGGTAACTTCTCCAAGTCCTAGTGACTTCATATTCGTGTATTTCACTGTTATATCACTCACCGTCACTCTCGCCTAAAGTTACATGGAATCAAGCATTACCCTTGTCTGTCTCATAGCCCTTGAACCGCATTTCCCTCCCGCACAGACTTTACTGTACTATTAGAGCTGAAGGGGTCGTTGTCGGCACGGGTTCTACATATGTCTACCGCAGGTATGTTTCTGTAGCCAAAATCAAAATACAGAAAAGTACCCTACGACGAGTCCGTACCGCATTGTGTCGTTTCCCTGATCGGAACTGTCATACCGTTGTGTTCGATACATTTGTTTGCGTTATATAAGAAACGAGCATACACAACAACGAATATATGGCAGTGCATAACTCCGCAAGGTCTCTCGCAATCAGCCGAACAACTATACATACGGTTTCGGTTTGGGGTTGCGGAATCTGGACTCGCCTATTTCTTTCTCTCTCTCTCTCTCTCTCTCCCCCCCCGTTTAGGGTACCGGGTACGTTTTGACTTTGTTTCGGGTACAATTTTGCATACAGGCAACGTACCTGGGGTACACATCTCTAGTACAACGACCCCTTGACCCATACTAAAGTCTGAGATGAATTAGGTCTACATTGACCTCAGGATTCTGCCATCTCACCAGTGTGACGTCCTTATCAAATTAAAAGGTGTTGCATGTTTCTGTCAAACTGATATATTTTCAAAGACTAAGAGTCAGTCCAGGATCACCCCTAAAACAATGGTATCATGGCGATTGACTCTTCACGCCAGGATAGCATCGCCGACGTCAGAAACTCCATTATATCTGCATCATCAGCTCTGTTACATCCCATCTACCAGGTTACTCTTGATGACTACTCTATCGCTCAGACCAAGGAAGGACCCTGGGGCGACAGTGACGATGATGGATATTATTCACTGTGTTGGGCTCAATTCCCACATCAACAGTTAGGAAACAATACAGCCATTAATCTCACCGATGTAATACAAACACAGTCCGAAAAATCCATCACTCAGCTAGCATTACTATAAAAACCAAAATATTTACAATCGATAAAGAATGACTACCGTCCCAATACACCAGAGTCGGGGTATAGGTCTGTTGGTTTGTGTTGCTGGAGATCCCTGCGCCCTGTAAACACAACGCCAGCTTATCTCACTTACACTGCAACGGGTTAACGCAATGGTGTCCTTTGCTTCCACTTACCTCACAAGACGCCAATAGGACAGTGATAATCCCTAGTAAACTGCATCCACACCGTATCATCCCCAGCATTTTGCTTCCACTATTGTGACCACAGTTCCGGTGAGAGATGATCTGGAAGCGACTAGTGAACCAGGTGGAGTGCCATCAGCCCGATTTGGTAGGGATCTTGTTACTGGGGAGCGAGTTACACTCCATTTACTGCGCTCCTCGTCCTCGTTTTAAAGCAGCTTCTCGTCTGCTAATATCGTCTGCTGCTACTTGCACTCCGAGCGGCGACGACGCGCGTAACTGTAGTGCCAATTAATTGGTCAGGGTAGTACTCGGGTCTGTTGAACACTGCCTTGACCTGCTTCGGTCCCTACAATCAGGACGCGTCTCCTGTCCTCGTTGGGAACTGCTTATTGCCATTTGTCAACTTTATTGATCGGCCATTAGTGCAAAAACCTTCGTGGTAACCTTCAACAGGTGGCAGTTAATGAATTGTAGCGAGAAATTGCCTGTGTAATATTTCAACTAACGTGTCCGAGATTCGAAAAATTGAGTTAAAGGGATATGAAAGTATTGTCTTGTCCGCACGCTTTTATGTTTTAGAAAAATAGGAAGAGGAAAAACGTTATTCAACTAAAAAAACAGTTACAACTGGTCACAATGAAAATATGTATTGTTTCGGGATGGTGGAGAGTGTCTGTTATCAATACGTCATGTAGAGACTAGACACTTCTCGTGAAAATATTAGCAGGCAACAGGCCAGCATTCATAAGTGGGGCTCAGTCATCTTCTACTAATGTTCCAGGCGACATTTCGAACAACTGCAATTTATTAAGGAAATGGGCCCTGGCGAGCTATTCTCGAAACGTTCGTAGCCATACGAACTTCTTAATCTTAAGCCCATTCTTAACACATTGGCTACGATCAAAGTTAAGAATTCTTAGGGCTACGAACGTTTCGAAAATAAGGACCCAGATCCAGATAGCGTTCGTAACGTTAAGACCTGTTGTAACTCTGTCGTAACGTATATTTCCTTACAACAGGGACTTGTAATTATCCTTGGTGATACTAATTATGCGGGAAAATGTCACACAGTCGATGAGCATGCGTACTCGTTCCAAATGCCACAAACGCGACTTGACATGACAATTCTGTACATAGACTGCGTTAGGGTAATGGTTGATTCTGTGTTCGTGATCCGTTACATTGATTATCTACCAAATGATATAGGATACGCTATAGACAAAGAGATATCTTACCCAGTGGATAACATTTGCCACGTGTTGCTTGTAATAGTTTTGATGGTCCTAAATGGAAGCCTAATGCTCAACCAGAGAAAAACATCTGAGACTGATTATATTCAGAAAAGATATCTTGGGCCAAATCAGATAAACCACCATGATAATTAGCGATAGAAAGAGAACTGCAGAACACACCGGAGATTACTATATGCATCTGCATCAGACCCAGCAGAGCAGGCAGGTCATGGAAATTTGAATTACATCCAGATAACTTTGCCGACATTGCTAGATTTACAGAAACTGGGCGAAAATGCTCCGATCTAAACAACACAAGTGTGGTACATTTACCAATGACATAGTTGTACACGCATGGGGACAATCACTGGATTGTCCGGTCCTATCCGATTTGTTCACTAAAGTACTGTCGGAAATGCTAGAAAAATGCTTTTTAGCCTTAATACTTTGATAAAGGTGATAAATGTACTATGTTGTCAATATATCAACTCGCCTATAGTGTACCTAATTTTTATTTCAACCGATTTAACATTCCCATACATTTGAAGGGCAGTTTACAGGAGAGAATTTGGTACCAATACAACAACTCAAGATTTTTTCAGAGTTCAACAACAGAAATCTGAAATAGTCTTTACATTTATGCTAATAATACAGGTGGTGTAAAAATATGAATCAACGTTTTTCTTTAACAAATAAATGTTGAATGTTTGTGTTACTTTACTTAATTATCGTTTCCTTATTGAAGAAATATTAATATAAATGTTAAGTCTTGATAAATAAGTTTCCCGTCATGCATGCATATCTTTATCACAGCGTCCACTATGGCCAACTATTTGCAGTCAGTTGTTGCAAAGGTTTATAAGTTTTTTGTGCTGGAAAAAGACAGAGGTAAACCTTTCATTAGTTTAGAAAGGGTTTATTACAGAATTTGTAGAGCTGTTGGTATGTCTTACCAACAAGTTTACAATATTGTAAACAAATCAGACAAGACAGGGACCGTCTCAAAAGCAAAACCGGGACGTAAAACCATCCTTGACAACTTTGACAAGGGAGTACTTAGACGGTCGGTCTACAGACTTTATGAGAAGAAGAATATATATATTCTAAAGAAGCTACACCAGTGACTTCGTTCAATCTTTGGCCAATGTTCACAACTAGATTAAACTGACCGAATTACATCCATATTTTTGCAATGAAATATACTGTTGACATGCAAAACACTTATTGAAACGTTGCACATTTCTACAATCAATCGATAAGATAACACAAGTGATAGGATTCTTTCCAATGTACAGTAATTCGTATGTTTATTTCAAAACAAACGCACATACACAAATGCACAAGTGATCCCTTACATAACCAATACGTATACTATACGTACAGATATTCAACATTTTAAAGAAAACATCTATTGAGATGACCCCTTCCCCGAGCGTGTGCTCAGGTGTCAATTTCACCTGTCGATACCGTGCATGCTGATGACGTAACACAGGCAGTTAATGTTTGTATCAAATAACGTCCCACTACCCCTTATTTTTCTAAGTTTTTGGTATTTTCATCAGTAAAAACACATTTTAGGGCATGTCTCAAAATTTATTCCCTCGGTCTACATTAGGTAGATGTTTCTTAAAGTGATATTTGTTATTTAAGTAACTGTAATACCTCTAAATTTTAAATATAAGTCAAAAAGCATTTTTCTAGCATTTCCGACAGTACTTTTTTTTTTTTTTTAACAACATCGTTGCTGTAATACTTCTGAAATAAATACATATACACATGATATAATCCCATTGTATAATCGTTTGCAGTTATTTCATATGGATGTGGAAAGGGTTTTGTCGCTTCTATTATGTCGTGTCAAATCAACCTCCAAGAGAAAGACTTGCCTGCATGGATCACCTGATTTACTTGATGCTAACACATTTGCAGATCTATGGGAAGATGACAGATTTTTATCTGTATAGCTTCCGGGTATACCTGCTGAATGTGTTTCCATGGGTGGCAGCAGATGATCCCCACTATATGTTGCACCTGAGAAAGTGGGCATACTGCTGTCATTAAGTTAACTATTGCTGTATAATAAATATGCATATCATAAGCTGTAATCTCCATCTTATTGAATAAATAAATAAATAAATAAATAAATAAATAAATAAATAAATAAATAAATAAATAAATAAATAAATAAATAAATAAATAAATAAATAAATAAATAAATAAAAAAAAAATTAAAAAATAGATAAATAAATAAATAAATAAATCCCTGTGGGTCACGTTTCAACTTAAGATCTTGAATTTTCAAGATAGCATCTTGAATTTTCAACTTAATATCTTGAATTTTCAAGATAATAAAAAAATATCAGTGGCCCTAATAGGCTTCCGTACGTTCTGCTGTAAAATATGTTTGACATTTATTGCTTCTTTGTCAAAGTTTTTACCTTTATTTAACAAAAAATAAAAAAATTAATGCATTGTCTGTATTTGGATTTGCAGGTAAATTAGGTCAAGGTCCGTCCTGATGGTAAATCTACAAATATGGAGATAAAACAATTAGGTTATGCTGCAGTATCGGAAAGGTCAACGTGTACGTCCACCATGCAGGGAATTAGGTCAGACTGAAGACAAAGAGTCAAAATCGGATATGAAACATACAGATACAATTAATAATAGAAATATTAAGTCGTGCGGTGATTCCAACTCTTCTCCTTTTGTGCGCAACCGATTCCTGGGTCGAGGATTTAAATCTGGTAAGAAACTACACGTGTGTACGCCGGAGTCAGCAATACGTAGCATTACGTATGACATCAATACGTAGCATTTTATCAGCAATATTTGGTCAATATATAGCAGTAGTGAGTGAGTTTAGTTTTACACCGCACTCAGCAATATTCCAGCTATATGGCGGCGGTCTGTAAATAATCGAGTCTGGACCAGACAATCCACTGATCAACAGCATGAGCATCGGTCTACGCAACTGGGATACGATGACATGTGTCAACCAAGTCAGCGAGCCTGACCACCCGATCCCGTTAGTCGCCTCTTACGACAAACATGGGTTGCTGAAGATCAGTTCAGGAGGGATGTCAGCATAAATACATCAATATGTAACCGTATTTTGGCAATATCGCATCAATATGTAGCAATATTGGATTAATAAGTAGCAGTGTATCAGCAATATCACATGCATATTAGCATGAAGTCAGCAATATTGGATTGATAAGTAGCAGTGTATCAGCAATATCACATCCATATTAGCATTAAGTCAGCAATATTGGATTAATAAGTAGCAGTGTATCAGCAATATCAAATCCATATTAGCATCAAGTCAGCAATATTGGATTGATAAGTAGCAGTGTATCAGCAATATCACATCCATATTTAGCATGAAGTCAGCAATATTGGATTGATAAGTAGGAGTGTATCAGCAATATCACATCCATGTTTAGCATGAAGTCAGCAATATTGGATTGATAAGTAGGAGTGTATCAGCAATATCAAATCACTGTACAGCAGTTATAGAGGCACGGTCTGTACCGGCATCCCTCTGTACGTGTAGCGAGCATCCTGCATGTTAGACCAGAACTAGAGAACATCTAAATCTCACCAAAGCGACATTTACAACATCTGCAACATTTGACGCTGCGCTTTTCCACTGCTATAAATCGCCATGAATACCTCCCGCGCGTTCCTGTAGCCCATCAGACACTAAATGCTTCGTGTTCTGTTGTAATTACATCGTGTGTGTATAATCATGACAGTATGTTGCCAGGGAGACAAAAACCATTAATTATATTCCAGTGCCGTGTATGACAGAATGATCGGGAACTCACACCCTGTATCATATGCACCTGCATTCACGCAGTACGCAACTAGGCCCGTGTCGACGACGACTCTATAGCACTATAGACTATAAACCAAGCATAACCTGTAAACAACTGCGACAGGATGTTTGATAACGTTATTCCTCTTTTTACACCGATGTATGAGAACAGCATTAGTTGCTGGCAGCGTTGTTAGAATGGTGAGTTTAGTTCAGGAAAACACTTATTGGTGGTAGACTGAGTTATCGCCCCTGGGGATTCAGGATAAGGGTTGATCCCATGTTATCTGTGCTTGTCGATAGAGGCGACATTGTCAGTCGGGT